GCTGCACGCGCTGAATTAAAGTAACAGCGCATTTTTTGCAGTAAATATGAACATGGATTGACACGAAAATGTAGTAATTACACCATAAATGCGTATTATTAAAGTCTACTGTGTTTCACAGTCAACACATATGGCTTTTTGGCTAGGTTTAAAGGGAAAGAGCACTTTTAGATAAGGCAATAATAGATGACACTCGTGGAGGTAGGAATACAAAGTTCTTTATGAACCGCAGGATTGCTTGTAATAAAGATTGAAATGCAAAAGAAAAGGCAGTAGAGCTTTCTATTTCTGTCAATGGTAAGTTTGTGATAAGAAAAGTAGTTTAAATGTTTTGCCAATTGCTTGAGCAACTTAATATATAAATCTAGAAGTAAATGCAAAAGTAAAAAGCATTGAATAATGTGTTGCTTATATTTATTGTGTTTAAACATGTCTATGAAAGATTGTATTACTGTACTGTGTAAAAACAAATTGCAATGCTGAAAAAACATTTTCAGTGACAATGTTTGGATTTGAAATCAAACTAATGGATAAATGTTGTGTTTGTGGTAAACAGCTGTGGATCAGGAGCGGACTCCTGTGTGAAAGCTGCTTCTCTCACAAGAGTCACCTAAGAGGGGAATTCACCACATTTTCAAAAATGAAATTCAGGCATAAATGTCTAAAAATCCTGGTTGGAGTATCACTATAAATAGTTACAGCATATAATCCAAAAATAATACTATACACTACAATTCAATGTTTTTTTAAAAGAAATTAATACTTATATTCAACAAACATGCATTAAATTGATCAAAAGTGACAGCAAAAACATTTATAATATTACAAAAGATTTTTATTTTAAATAAATGCTGTAATTTTTAACTTTCTATTCCTTAATGAATCCTAAAGAAAAGTATATCGTAGTTGCATCAACATTTTTAAGCAGCAAAACCAGACTGATAATAAAAATTAATGTTTCTTGAGCAGCAAATCAGCATATTAAAATGATTTCAGAAGAACCATGTGACACCGAAGACTGGAGAAATGATGACTGGAGAAAATTACATTCATAATAGTTGTTTTAAATTGTAAAAATATTTCACAATATTACTATTATACTTTATTTTTGATCAAATAAATGCAGCCTTGGTGAGCATAAAAGGCTTCTTTCAAAAATATTTAAAAATGGTTATAAATGATAAAAAGAAGGCTTTAAAAAGATCGGTATCGGTGATCGGTATCGGCAGATACTGCTTTCTGTGATCGGCGATCGGCCTCAAAAACCCTGATCGGAGCACCCCTATCTCTTACTATTTGAATTTGATAAAAATTAAGAATTTGACACAAAAGATGATGCATACATTTAATTAGGTTAGAAAACAAATTGGCTTTATAAAGGTAAAAATGCCCACAAAAGGTCAAAAGCTACTTAAACTATTGGAAAAGTTAATTTCTGTTGCTGCTGCAAACTATCCACCGCACAGAATATGAAGAATATCAAAAGCTTTGGCAGTCAGATGTCCATGGCAGTCCTAAACCTGCCAAAATACCAGCACAGTAACACACTCCGAGAAATATCATCTTGATTATCATTATAGACAAAATTCCAGAAAATATCAAGATACAATTTTTTGTCATTATCGCACACCCTTAATTCCACCAGGTTTCGCTTTCATATCCATCCACAAGCTTGCCATTGGATAGTGTATAATTTGTCTTCATAAGTCAACTGGCGTAAATATTGTCTAAAGAACAGGACCACATTTCAACATTTGCTGAGAAAAGCCCCCTAATGAAGATAAGCCACATCATTTAGATAATTTAAAAAGACAAGTGAACATCAATGGATTTTTGCGAATGTCTCTTCACTCATTCTGTGCTGCCTGTCTGTTTTTAAATTACTTGAATTGCACAAACCTACAGCATTTTTATTGAAGCTATTATATTGGCCACCTAGCTCTCAAGATATCAGCACTAGCCATGAAAAACCACACCGGTCGACCACTACATTATATTACACATGAAAGCTCCTCATCCATACAGGCCACTTCTTTGATGTTGATTTTCAGATCATAAAAATCATCACATCACATCAGCAAGAAGACTCACAGCAATCACAATAAACTCACTCATCAGCCCTTCCTATCACTTTCTTCTCTTTTAAGAACACTTGACTGTCTCTTACCTCCAGATCAGAGCAGAAAATGCATTAGCGACTGATGCAGGAAATTATTTTGTAAATGTTGTATTACACTGCATTGATACACTGACACGGCAAAGTCTCAATACTTGCATTGTAAATGCATTTAATCTTTTTTTATTTGCAATCAAACAAGTCGCTAGAGTGCACAACAAACGTCCTTATGTGCAGAAGTAATGCACTGAAGCAATGCACCTCCTAAAGCAACACCGTCCTGTAAGATTTCTCTCAGTACTTGGCCATATGAGATACAGTACGAGGGCACTCGGTGCATTTACAGGCGTTGTGTAGGAGTTCGGCCGGAAAATTACAACTGGCACGCTCTCTCCACTGGGACTTTCCACTTGGAATGAGGTTAACTAAGCCTGAGAAACTTTATAAGACCGATTTATTAAGCCA